CCTGGGCACCCGGCCAGCCCCGGGGTTTGGGGTGAAGCGGGGAGCCGCAACCCAAGAGCACGGGGAGATGGTGGCCCAAGCACTGGGTGCTGCCTCGTTGTACAAAACACACCTGAAATCTGCTCTCCCCAGGACTGGAAATCCTCTCCCAGCATATGCCTCTTGTAGTGTGGGGACCGTGTTTGCTCATGAAGCCACCCGGGAGATGGACCCCATCGGTGGGCCACACTGGAGCCCCAGTGGGCGCCATCCGCGGACCCAACAGATAGAATCCTTTCTTTTATATAAAGGAAAGTGCAAAGATAAGTAGCCATGGATATATTTGTATTACTATGGTAAATAATAACATAAAGGCCTTGACATAATTCAGAAGCTTTTCTGAACATGCATCTGTGAATTTCTCCAACTGGAGTAGATCATGAATAACTTTTTTTTTTTTTTTTTTACACAAAAAAAAGACTTTCACACTTCCTTTTTTGGACTAGGTTTTTTGTATTTTACCTTCTGATTTCCATACATACTGTATTCCCTGTGTACATACCCACTTTATGTGGGTATGTATCTTTATATATACACAACCAATTATTTCTAAATTTACTCAACTAAAATTCATGTTTTCACTTCAAGTTCTATACCCATCTCTAAAAAAAGAGCAGTAAAATTTAAGGTTAGCATACTACATTGCACTACAAACTAGGATTCAACAACATGGAAAAACTATGCAAGTTTTCCCATATGTTCTAACGCTCAAAGTTAATCAAATACTTGCAGTCTGTATTGAGATAGATTTGCATCACCCTCAACTAATTATGGGAGTAGAAAAGTTAGTGTTACATGCCTAGATCCAAAGGACAGGGCATCAGTGGACTAGGAACTAGAGGCAGAAGCTCATGACTCCCTTACCCTATTATGCTCATGGTCACTGGTTCTCGACTAAGAAAATATCAATTTTTATTTTTGAAATATGAGTGTGGACCCAGACACTCCAGGGTTGATACGTTTACCTTTTTAAGTGCTGTAGGGCGTTTCAGCTTTGCAATCTCTCTCTCTTTTCCTCTTTTCACTTTTGGGGCAGTTGAGTCCAAAGGATTAAGGCAACCCATAGATGGCTGTCCCTTTGTAAAGGACTTTCTGTTGGCAGATTCTTTGGTATGAAAGGGAGCAGCACTGCCAACTAAATACAAGAAAGGTATTAGTTTCACTAAGAGACATGTCAGCTTTATTTCAACACTGCTTTCAGAATTTCCACTGATGAGTTCTCAAAGTACGTTTTCCTTCCTTGGAAAAAAGGAGTTCATAACGACAGGAAAGTTACATCATCAGATATTGTTGCTTCCAGATGGTTTTTAGCTTTCTTTGACTTAGCCTCATGTTTTAGAAAGCTATGGATTCCAGGAAAGGAATTACTTTAATACTGGTAAGGGATCTCTCAAGTGACTACATGCAACTTTATTAATAAGATGATAATAGTAAGATAAGTTGCAAATATTTATCCAAACATTGATTTTCAGTTGTCAGAGACTTGAGTAGTTGACAGGACGAAACAAATGAGAGAGTGCAGCATGTAGTTAAGTGTACCTTCTGTAAGAAAGGGAATAAAACAAATGTAGTCTCCAATGGAAATGCCAACTGTTCTTTGCTAAGCTCTGTTTGATATAACCTTGCCAACTTGAACTAATGTTTGAACACAGCTGAAACTCAAAGCAGGTAAATGAAGCAACACACAGGAAGGAAAATGGTAACTATGTGCATAACGATGGACTCTAGGCTACGTACTACTGCGCAAGAATGAGATTCATGGGTTTTAATAGATAACTACGAAAACGTCAATTCTGTATTCAGCAGCAAGCATTAAAAAAAGCTTATTTAATATTACTTGTTGATAAAGAAATAGAGAACAAAAAACCATAATTAAGCCATAGCATACATTCCCAATGAAACTATAACTTAATATTCAGTGCATGTCTGATCTGCCTTATTTTCAAAAAGATACAGTAGAACTACAAAAAGGTACAGAGAAAGTGATATGGATTATCATAAAAGACATGCTTCTACAATGGAGTAACTAAATAGAGTAGGACTCTTCAGAAAAGAGATGACAGACCTCTAAGAATCATAGAGGAGGAAAGCAGGGAATGATTGCTCAGTGTCTCTGTAATACAAAGGCTATGAAAGCTAATGAAATTATGAGTGGGGCACAAAAAACCCTGACCCCTACTCCAAAAAACACAGAAGAAGGAAGAGCTTCTCCACACAGCATGTAGCAATGTTAGAATTCACTGCCTTTGGACCTTACGGACAGCAAAAGCATGTGATAGATAGCTTAAGGAACAACTTTGTTTTGAGAAAGCCTTGGGTCAGGAGGCCCTGAACCAGGAGGTCAGTAGAGGAATCCCTCTGTCATAATCACAGGTACTCTCTCTAAGCTGCTTTCAAAGAGAATTCTGCAATATCTGTAGATGTTTGGTTTCACCTAATACAGTTCTTTTCACATCTTCATTTTAGCACTGAATTACGCAAAACATGAATCTTGAGCTTTGAATAGCAGGTCTTTTAAGAGAAGTTTGTCCATCCCTCCATCCCCAGCCTGTGCTGGTACTGGGGGCTGCCCCCACCCGGCACTGGATCACGATTAAGGTTTGGGCATCGCCGGTCTGGGCCCCTTTGCCGTGTGGGGCTGCCCTCTCCCCCTGTCCCAGGCTGTCCCTCCCCCCCCTGCAGGGTGCTCGGGGTGCCCCATCCCTGGCCAGCCCTCACTGCAGCGCCCAGGCGACGGCTCCCCGACACGTCCTGACTCGCCTGGCGTCCCGGCCGGCGTGGGGCACTCACGGACGCGTGGCAGCGTGCCCTGGCAGCAACCCCAGAAAGCACCCATGGGTGCTGCGGGGTTGTGTCAGCAGCGTCGGGACGGGGACACCGGGACGTGCGCTGCCAGGAGCCTGACGGGTGCCCTGCCACCGCCGCAGAATCAACTGACCCATCCCAGGATGAGCATCCCTCCACCACATCAGTGAATTGGTGCTGCTGAATCCCCAGGACCTTCCCAGTGCCAGGGCCAACAGCTGCCTCCTCCCAGGGCTGCCTGGCCAGGGAGAGGCCAGGCACGACACAACAGCGCTGAATTCACTTTAGTTTATTTCTTTTCATTTTTTTTTCTTGTTCCGAACTGCAAATCCTGGTGCCAATGGCATCTCGTCTCGAATAACACCCAATTGCTAAAGCCAATGCGGGGGCACCGGCGGTGCCGGGCCGGAGGCGGGAGGCTGCCAGGCAGCCGTTTTGGGCGATTCGGGGCTGCTGTGTCCCTGCTCGACACTGAGTGTATGGGCGGGAGAGAAATAAATATTGCTGAAATAGTGCAGGAAGCCTCCGGGAGCGGGGCCGGGAGCCGCCCTGAGACCCGGGCTGTGGCTGGGGGGTGACATACAAAAAAGGGGCCAAAAAAAAAAAAACCAAACGAAAACCAACAAAACAGACTGATGAACCCACAGGAGGTTTGCTGGAAGCCGGGGCTGTTTCGCAGGGGAGGCGGGATCTGGATTCCTGACTTCAATTTGCACGGTGAGCCCTGGCAGCACAGCCCTGTGCCACTTGGCGCTGGATCCCGGCAGTGCCACCGGCGCTGGGCTCGCAGTCGCTCCCCCCATGGAGCCGAATCGGGGGTGGGCACGGGGCTGGGGCAGGTTACAGCGCCGGGCAGGCGACCTGGTGCCGGATGCCCTCGTTGCACATGAGGGCAGCCGCCCGCTCGTCACTGTCGCCGTGCTGGCACTGCATGTAGCTGATGCCGTGGGGTGAGTAGCTGTGGTGGGCGCAGACGTTGCAGGCACGGGTCATGGTGCCGCCGGTGCTGCTCCTGCGGGCAGAGGGGAGCCCCGACAGCACCCATCAGTGCTCGCGGTGCCCAGCGGCACCCGGCGGCACCCATCAGTCCCCACCGATGCTCAGCAGTGCCCAGTGGCACCCATTGCCACCCCGCTGGTTTCTATCACTGCACTCATCAGCCCCCGTTGGTGCCCATCGGTGCCCGCTGGGACCCAGCAGCGCTCACCAGGGTTCACTGCTACCTGGCAGTTCCCAGTGGTGCCTATCAGCACCCACTGGTGCCCGTTGGTGCCCAGCAGTCCCCGTCACTGTCTGGTGGTACTCACAGGTGACCCACGATGGCCATCAGTGCCTGGTGGCACCAGCAGTGCCCAGTGGTCCCCAGTGGTCCCCCGCAGTGCCCATCAGTCCCCAGTGGTGCCCAGTGATGCCCGTCAGTGCCCAGTGGCACCCTGCCAGCTCTGTGCCCCTCACCTGCAGTCGCTGCATGTCCGTTGGCACTCCTTCCGGCGGTAGCGGCAGATCAGTGCCCAGATGAGGAGCCCAAGCAGACTGAGGAGCAGGAGGGAGCCCAGGATGGAGCCCACGATGATGCCCGCCTGCCTTCCTCCTGGCGCGGGAGCACAGCCTGTCACCACCAGCCTCCCCACCGGCTGCCCACTGGTCACCATGCCCCCGGTGGCACCCTGGCACGCAGAGCCAGCCCCCGGTTGCACTCTGTCCACACTGTCCCCCTCACCATGGCACTTACTTGGCCCAGGGCTGAGGTTGAGCTGGCATACGGAGTAGCCCACGCGGTTGGTGACACGGCACTGGTAGACACCAGCGTGCACCTCTGACAGGCTACGGATTATCAGGTCGCCAGGAGCACGTCCTGCAGCGGGGAGAGACGGCCCATCAGCCCCACTGCCGCACCCCCACTGGCACCCGCGCCCCCAGGCACGGGTGCACAGGGACACGGGCACATACAGACATGGACACCCGTGGAGACAGATGCAGATGGACAGCCAACAACCTGAGTGCGCACAGCCATGGGCACCACCAACACATACACTCACAGTCAGGGACATCGCGTGAGCATCCCCTACTCCCCACCCCCTCCTCCCCCTGGGGGGGCGCATTCCCCCCAGCGCCCACCTTGGATGGTGCCGGAGGGCAGGCGTGCCCCGCCGTAGCCGT